GTCTGAACAATTTTAAGCAAATATGTCATTTGACTAATGTTAATAATTCTAAAGTATCCCACAATAGATAATATCATCATTGAGAATGTGATAAAAAAATATTTTCAACACAATCATAGGGATAGGGATAAGGTTCGTGAGCAAGAACGAGGACATAGTCGTCATGGTGCTCGTTCTCTTTCTCGTCATAATGAGCATTTATTTAGAGACATTAAATTAGATTCTTCTACTTTTGATGGTTGCTTAGATCATGAAATTTTTACGTAATGGAACGCCCTTACACAAGGAAATCGGCTAGCAACAGAGTACATTGCAAAATTTGAGAAATTTTGAATGAAATGTCATGTCGTTGAGGATGAGGACTTGATTTTGAGTAGGTTTAGACAAGGCCTAAGAGAAGATCTAAGGTGGGAGCTCATCCTTCGAGTAATCACTACTCTTGATCACGCTTATTCGTTAGCTCGGGATTATGAGCTACTTATTAATACTCCATATGAAAAGCATGGTCACCATTGTTTACCCATCTCATCAACACCATCTCATCATAAGTCTATCAAAGAGCCTTCCTTGTCTAATGTTCCTCCCATTTAGGAAAATAAGTGTAAAGGCCATGATATCCCAAGACCTTCTTCTTCGTATCAAAGGCGTAGTGACGTTCGCCCTTTCGTCTCATCGATGTCACTTCCTCCTATTAATTAACTAATTCAAAACACCTTAAATTTAATTCAAAACTTCAATTCATTTTTGTCCAGTGACACATGATTTACAAAAACATGGACCTAACTTATCCAAAATAACTTTCTTTTTTTTCTCGAGTCTGAAACTCGTCAATTAATATGAGCTTCGAAATTAGTCTAATCTTGACAGGGAAATTCTTGTTAAATGAATGCTTGATTATTCTACCAAATAAAATGATGACGTCGAACATATTTTTATATTAATTTCTCAACATCCAAATATAATGGAACGTACCAAAGTGAATTTAAATAAAAATATTTATCGCTACAGTAGTGGTCATCTTGTTGCCTCTTTTTCCAGTACATTGAACATGGACCCATCCCAATTTGATGCACTCACTAGACAGTTAGCTAAACTTGCCACTAGCCAACAACACTTACAAACTCAATTAGCGGCTTCTAAATCAAGATGTCTGCTACCTCTGAAAAGAGCAGAGATTTAGCTGCTAGTTTGAACAATTTTAAGCAAATCTGTCATTTGAATGTTAATAATTCTAAAATATCCCACAATAGACAATATCGTCGTCGAGAATGTGATAAAAAATGTTTTCAACATAATCGCAGGGATAGGGATTAGGTTCGTAAGCAAGAATGAGGCCATGGTCGTCATGGTGCTATTCTCTTTCTCGTCATAAGGAGCGTTTCTTTAGAGACATTAAATTTGATGCTCCTACCTTTGATGGTTGCTTAGATCATGAAATTTTTACCAATGGAACACCCTTCCACAAGGGAATCGGCTAGTAACTGAGTTCATTGCTAAAGTTGAGAAATTTCGAATGAAATGTCATGTCGTTGAGGATGAGGCCTTAATTTTGAGTAGGTTTAGACAAGACCTAAGAGAGGATCTAAGGTCCAAGCTCTTCCTTCGAGTAATTACTACTCTTGATCATGCTTACTCTTTAGCTCGGACTACGAGCTACTTATTAGTACTCCATATGAAAAGCGTAGTCACCATTATTCACCCATCTCATCAACGCTACCTCATCATAAGTCTATCAAAGAACCTTTCCTGTCTAATGTTCCTCCCATTTGGAAAAATAAGTGTAAAGGTCATGATATCCCAAGACCTTCTTCTTCGTATTGAAGTCGTAGTGACATTCGTCCTTTCATCTCATCGCACCTCCTCCTATTAAATCTCTTTTAAGGCCTTTTCTATCTGATGCTCTCCCTCTGTTAAAAAATAAGGGTCAAGATTTTGAAACTCCAATGACTTATTCTCACTTGCAGCGCTTCAACTATAGAGACTTTAGTCATATTTCTAACAAATGTCCTAGTGAAATGCTAATCATTAAGGAATGAAATGATGTAATGGATGATTGGTTAGAAGATCAAGTCTATGAATCTCTAAACTTGAAGAACTTGATGACATTGGGGACACTTCCTTATGTAGTATCCGGACTTTTCCAATGAATCTAGGGGTTGTACCCCTTGCTCTCGATACCTCTCAATGAACTGTTGTATGTCGTACCCTCACCTAACCCGACGGCCCTGATAATTTGCGTAATCATGCCATTTTCAAGAAAAATATTAGAAATTGGATTATGATCCTCCTAACAATTCAAATTGCATATAACAATTTTGTGAATCAGTTTATAGGTATGAGTTCTGTCGAAGTTATTCATGATTATAAGTCTAGGAAACTTTTAGACCTTATTCCAATGTCGCAACATGCTAGTGTGGGTCAGCCGAGGCATTTGTACATCATCTTCATAACTTGCATATTGAGATCAATAAACAACTTGAAGCAAGTAATGCATCATATAAATTTCGAGCTGATTTGTACAAGCGACATGTTGCATTTAATATTAGGGATTATGTTATGATCCGAATTAGATCGGAGGCATCCATCTGGATCCGCCTCTAACTTGCAAATTGGTAGCGCTGGTCTTTTTAAAATTTTTAAAGCATGTTGGTCCAAATGCATATGTCATTGATCTACATTTTGGCAACTACTCTACTTTAAATATTGAAGACTTAATTACTTACAAACACCATTTTAATTCCTTTGATGATCATTTTCTACTTAGCTTTGTGGACTCCCAACTTGACTATGTTAATATTTCTACTTCCATACCATCTGTCACAGCACACAAAGATAAAATTAATATTATTTTAGATGAACGTGTTGTATTAACCAATGAAGGCAAGGTCCAGTATTTCCTTGTTTGTTGGGTCGTTCCACCTGATTTGGACTGTATATGGAATCCAAGAGAGAGGTGTCAACTAATATAGATCAAACTATTTTTGGGGTTTCAATACTTGGTTCATCAGTAAGATGGTCCTCCGTGGCATGACTTGAAGTATTTTGGGTATCAACTCAACTGCAGCTTCTTGTGACTTGTCCACTCGACAGGATCGAGTTTTTCTCCCACCCCGGGAGAGTTGATGCGGACTCGACCCAATTATTTTATTTCATGTTTTATTTATTGATGTCTTTTTATTTCATTGGGCTTGTCTAGTAGGTTTGGCCCAAGCCTGTGAACGTTATGTTTTTTTTTTGCTATTTGTATTTTGGTAATTGGAATTGCAAAACTGTTAATGAGTATGATGAGTTAAAATTGGTTATGGCGTATCCTTCCTCTCCTCTCTCCTTTCCCCATGAATTTCTGCTTCTTTTTCGATTTTTCCCCACATTTTCTCTGGTTTTCCCCCCTTTCTTGCTGCCATCTTCTCTATCCTAGATCATACTTTAGGTAGAAACTTGTGGAGAAGTTGAGCTTGGACACTAGGAGTTTGGACTTTAATAAATACTGTACTATTTTTTCCTTGATTGAGGTTTCGTTTCGCTAGAGTTTCTTGACAAAATTTTAGTTAGACAGCTTTCTTCACATATTTGAAATAATAATATACTCTTCTTCCTTCATTAGGATTTTTCTTAATAAGATTTTAGCAAAACATAATCTTTGTACTACGGACATTCAAGGGAAAGTTTTGTATAATCACAGTTGTTACAAATTGTATAGATCCAGGATTTTCAATTAAAGAAATTGATAATTTTCCTCTCATTCAATAATGGAGAAATCTTACAGAATAAATAGAAGAGAGAACAATACCCTAGCCTCTAATTGTGCGATATCTTTCTAAACTAATTCCTCTAAATAAGGAAAATGACTAATTTAAGAAAACTAGGAATTTGGGTAACAGCTTACCCAAATCCTTTATTAAAGAAACAATAATTAGTAAATCCCAAGAATTTGTGTGCCTTAGTTACATAGATATTTTTGAATTTTTATACTTCTCCTCCAACTGGGTAGTAGATGTTTGTCATTCCCCGCTTGGAACTAAATTCTTCAAAATTTGTCAGAGCATGTCTGCAATTTGTTGGCGAGTTGACATATGCAGAAGATTTATAATCCTATTATCTATCTTTTCCTAGATGAAGTGATGATTTATCTCGACATGTTTGGTCCAGTCATAATGTACATGATCTTTTGCGATGCTTATTGCTTCTTGGTTATAACAAAATGTAGTTATTGATTCTTCTACAGAAATGCTCAATTCATTTAGAAGTCTTTTATCCACATTCATTCATAAATTCCATAAGCCACTGCTCTAAATTCTGCTTTAGCACTATTTCGAGCAACTACTAATTATTTTTTCCTTCGCCAAGTTACCAAGTATTCCCACCCAAAAGTATAGTATCTTGAAGTAGATTACAGTCTATAACTAAACTTGCCTACTCAGCATCAGTAAACATTTCAATCTTCCTGTTCGAGTTTTTTTCCTAGAAAATAGCCCTTTTCCTGGTATCATCTTTAAATACCTCAGGATTTTGTAAATAGCTTCCATATGTTTCTCCATAGGACTGCTCATAAATTGACCAACCACACTTATTGGCAAACCAATATCTGGTTTAGTGTGGGAGAGATAGATCAACTTGATAATAAGTCTTTGATACATACCCTTATCCACTAGAGCACTATCATCTTTGTTTCCAAGTTTAACATATGAATCCATAGGAGTTTCTGTTAACTTGTACCCTAACATTCTAGTTTTCTTTAAGAAATCCAGACATATTTGCATTGTAAGAATGAGAATTCCTTGTATGATCGAGCCACCTCCATACCCAGGACGTATTTCAAATTTTCTAAGCCTTTAATTTGCTAGGAGTCTTTTAAGTTTACTCATTTCTTCTGAAAATTCTCCTGTGACAACAATGTTATCTACATATACTATTAAAATACCTGATTTACCTTTAGGAGATCTTTTCATAAATAATAGGTAATCAGCTCGACATTGAATGTACTTATATCGTTTGACCACTTAGGTAAATCTGTTAAACCAAGTGTGTGGGGATTGCTTTAAGCCATATAAAGACTTTTTAAGTTTGCAGACTTTGTTAACTCTAGCAAACGTATTAAAGCCTGAAGGAATTTCCATGTAGACTTCTTCTTCAAGATTACCATTGAGGAAAACATTCTTCACATATAACTAATAGAGTGGCCACTCCAAGTTAGATGCAAGAGATAAAAATACAAGCACGATGTTAAGTTTTGCTATAGGGGCAAATATCTTTTTGTAGTCTATTCCATAGGATTTGGATAAGCCCTTTTGCCACAAGATGAGCTTTATACCTTTCTATATTACCATCAGGTTTATGTTCGATTAGCGAAAATCCACTTGTAGCCCAGTGGTTGCTTTCCTGATTGCAGTTCAGTAATTTCCCATGTTTTGTTCTTTTCCTGTGTTTAAATATCCTCAAAGATAGCTGTCTTCCATTCGGATACTTCGATTACCTCATGTATGGAATTTGGAACCAGTACTTGACTAAGATTGCTAACAAATGCATGGAAACTAGGAGAAAGACTCTCATAGGATACAAAGTTAGGAATAGGGTGATTTAGGGATGTCAACGAGCAGAAACTCAAGGCTCGGGTTTGGCTCGGTTAAAATAAGCGAGCTTTTTTTCAACTTGAGCCGAGCTTTTGCTAGGCCAAAAAATTGGCTCGACCGAAACTTTCGGCTCGAGTCTTTCCGAACCGAGCCGGGAAAGCTCAAATTTGGTTTTGGTTTTTTTATTATAGTTAAATGAAGGCAGCAGAGGCTGAAGGCAAGTTGCTGCCTTAAAAAAGGTAGGTTGTTACCTTATCAAATAAGGCAGCACGCTTCTGCCTATTTTAGGCAGCGTGTTGCTGCCTTCTAAATTATTATTATTTTCACTAATATAGGCCTATGAGCCCGAGCCACACGGGCCTGCTAGGGCTTTGCTCGGCACTCAAAAATAGGGCTCGGCCCAAGCCTCGAGCCGAGCTACGGGCAGCCCGAACCGACGAGCCCGATTGCCATCGCTAGGGTAATTAGTGCAAGATTTTACACCCTTTCTTAAGGCAATTGGCCTATCAAGTTCTTCACTAGGAAACTCAATATTGATAGGCTCGGATGAGGTATTACCCTGTGAATTTTTAGAAATGTTTGAACTCTATTTGGACGCCTAACCTTGCTCACGGTATGTCAGATTCTTCACTCTTTCCTATATCCTTTTCTTTCCGAATAAACAAGCAACTTAAGAGAAATGGATGGATATGAATTATAAGGAACATGACTTGAAATTTGTGGTGGCCAGGTTCTGGGTTGTAGAATTGTTGTAGTGGACACATCAATCATGTTCATGACTTGAAGAGTAGGATAACTGGAAGTTATGGACATGGAAATTTCAGGTGTTGTAACAATAGAGGAGATAATGTTCCATAGTTGATATTCACGTGAAAAATTCTCCCACTGAATATCAATTTTGGTGTAATAAGGCTGCTAAACATGTCATATGATAGGGGAACAACCCTTGTACATTTTCTGATTTGAGGAATATCCTATGAATATGCATTTGATAGCCTTGGGATCAAGTTTGCTCCTACTGTGTGAATAGATATGGATTTAGGCAGAACACCTAAACACTTCCATGGGAATGTTTGAGATCATTTTTGTGCTTGGATATGATTTTAAGAGTATACGAGTTTAAAAATTGAGTACTCAAAAAGGCATTCCGTTTATGAGATATGCTATTGATAGAGCTACTTCTACCCAGAAGTTTTTAGGAACTTGAGTGGTAAACATAAGTGACCTAGCAACCTCAAGAAAAATGCCTATTTTTTTCTTGAGGTTACTCCGTGTTGTTGTGGTGTGCTAACACAAGAGCTCCGATGTACTATCCCCTGACTTGATAAATAATCACCTAAAGCTGAGGCAAAATATTCACGTACATTATCAGCTCTCAATACATGTATTTTTGTTTTGAATTAAGTTTGAATCATAGAGTTGAAATTTTTAAATATTTGACCAACCTTGGATTTCTCTTTCATAAGGAATATCCATGTGACGCAAATGTGATCATCTATGAAGGATATAAACCATCAACTTCTTGTTATATTTTTAATTTTGGATGGTCCCAAATTATCTGAGTGAATCAATGAAAAAGGATGTGACTTTTTATAAGGAAGACTTGGATAAGAATTTCTTACATGTTTTGAGAATTGACAAATTTTGCATGAAAAATTATTTGAACTTTTATTCTTGAATAACCAAGAAAAGAGTTTCTCAAGGTACAAAATGTTTGGATGACCTAACCAATCGTGAAATAACATGATTTCACTATCTTTATTGAAAACAGAACACGGCACAATGCTATTTTGAAATTGACTTGTAGAGCTTTGAGTGCTTATCTTTTAAAAGAATTATTGACTTTGAGGAGATAATGCCCCGAACACACCTCAACACTACCAATCGTCTTCTCCAAATCCAAATCTTAAAATTCACAAAGTTTGGAAGAAATTTAGCACTGTAGTTCTGATCACGGGTGAGTTTATAAACAAACAACAATTTACAGTCAAGATTTGGTACAAATGAAACTAAATTGAGCGCCAATTGGTTTGAGATACAAACAGGCCTAATTTAAACAACTTTAGATAATAAACTATCTACAATTCTAACTTCAAGTTCTTCATTGCATGGTTTATAATTTCTAAAAATAGAGAGATCACTTGTCATACGATATGAAGTATTAGGTTTTGAGTTGTTAATTCTGTGAACAAAAGGGTCAAATTGTAAATGTTTAAAAGTTAAGGACTACAATGCAATTTTGTAAAAGTATGTTGGGTTCGAGTTGAGAAAAAGGAAAGAAGAAGAGTCAAAATTTTACTAGCTGCTTGCTAGGAGATTGCTCAAGCGGAAGAAATAAAGACCTAGTCGTTGTTGACTTCATTCTCAATGTTTTGATCATAACAAACAAGATTAATATTGTTTCTAACAATTTAATTTGAGTAATTATAATTCAATGTTAAAATCAATTAAGCACTAAGTACTCAAGTCAAATCATTTGAGACGAAAAAAGAACAAGAGCACGAGAGACGGCATCAAAGAAAGAGGTCAAGATCGCAGTCACACATTCAAGAATTTAATAGCCAAATTTCGGAAGAAGATCCAAGACTTGATTTATTAGGCAAAATGTAAAGGTACTAACACTTTAACATTTGGGAATGAATGGTTAAGCTCAAAATCCTTCTATGCATTAAAAACAATTTTTGTGTATTAAAAGTCATTCCAATACAACATTTTGATCAAATATAAAAATGACTTTGAAAAGTGATACTTGGACTTTAAAAACTATTTTTATCATGAAAAATTAGTTAAAAATATTTTTCAAAGATTCATGCACTTCAAAACTTTCAAATCGGAACAATCGGGATCAAAACATAAAAACACCACGCTGTTAGGGCGGTCAACCGCCCAAAGGGGACCGAACCCTCTCTAACGGTCCGAAATTTGGCCGTTCTGACTTCTAATTTTTGCTGTACAAATGGCTATATTAATCTTTTAAACAAGAGGAGGTCGAATGGACTTGTCTTTCCCAAATACAGATTTTTTTCATTTTTGAACTCTATAAATATCATCACTCTTCCCATTCTTCATAAGATTTTCAAGTGTATCAAATTGAGATATTTTTGTTTTAAGAATTTTTTGAGCTTTCCTTTGCATTCATTTAATTTGTTTCTTCATATCAAAAACTTTGATTGATTCAAATTTCTTAATCCTCATTCTCATCAAAGTTTTTCATTTTTCTTTGTGCTTAACTTATTTATATTATTATCAAAAGAGTGATATATTCTTGAAGAATGTATTTGAACGTACATTGCATAAATCTTTCTACTTCTTCATATTGAAAACTTTGATTGTTAAATCAAATTTCTTGAATCAATTTCTCTTATCAAAGTTTTTCATCTCTCTTTGTTCTTAACTTATTTATATCAATTTTAAAAGAGAAATATATTTTTGAAGAAGATCTTTGCAATTATATTGCATAAATTTTTCAAATTCTTCATATTGAAAACTTTGATTTATTGAATCAAATTTGTAAAATTATCATATTCATCAAGGTTTCCTATTTCTCTCTTACTGCTTAATTTATTACACTCATTCATTAAAGAGATATATTTCTTGAGAAGATTATTTGAATTTATATTGCATTCAATTCTTCTTCATCTTCGAAACATTTTGATTGGTTGATTCTAATTTTTAATTGTTATTTTCATCAAAGTTTTTATCTAAAACTTGAGCTATTATTTGTTAGTTTTCATTGAAGTGTTAGCCTCTCTTTTTTACATAATTTGTTTTGTATTATTTATTAAGAGATGATTTGATTGTAAATCACTTTAATAAAGTGTGGTTCATGTTGAGGTTCTAAAAAACTCAACATTGTGTAAGGATCGATGCTCTTTGTTATAAGTCACCGAATGGGTCATATTGAGGTCCTATAAAGCTCAGCATAGTGAAGAGGCTTTGCTCGTGCCGGAGAGCTTGATAACGAAGTACGTAAATCATTGCTTTAGATCAAACTTCTACAATTATATCATTTGCATTCTCTTTCCCTTTTACTTACCACTTTTATACTTGCGCTTAATATTTGAATTTATCAATTTAGTCCTTGCTTTCTTATTTGTGCCTATTTGTTTAATTGATATATTAGCTATCAAATTGGTTTATATCTAGAATTAATTTTCGAAAAAGTTTTAAAAATCAATTCACCCCCTCTTGGTTAGTCATTCCCTGAGCTTTCAATTGCAAGTTGATTACCCCTGTCTAGCTTGATTGAAACAACGTCGCTCAATTT